TGGAGGGTGTGAACATGAGCCTCATGTTTAAGAGCCTTCTGCTTATATAGAATAGCGCACTGAAGGTCCACGGCGAAAGTTGAAATAATATTAGAAAGGTATACGAAGCCTTGGCAAAACGTATCGCACATGAAACACTTGAACACCCCACCAATCCAATATTGAGCCCTTGGTTGGAGTTCAAACTGGATCTCAGGGTAATATGGGAAACTTATCTTTTTAGGTGAGTGTGCACAAGCTGTATGTAGAAAGAAAGGGCACGACTCCTCTTGTTCTGTACAGCTATAAAAGGCATCAATTTTGGTGATGGGTCGCATGCAGCCATTACAAGTGATTATTCTATCATCATCATCATCACCATTATCTTGATGATCACTATTGATGAGGGCTAAGACATGTTGTGGATGGCTGAAGTGATTGATTTGCAACTCAATTTGGTTGCTGATTATTCTATCATTAGTTCAAGAGTTTATGAGAAAAATACTAGCTAACTAGGGTACGGAGATAACTGCAATATTCACGTTCGCAATAATAAACTGCGCGGCTTTTGTCCATGTGTGCAAAACAGAGGTCACAGTAATTTTGGATTTTTGGAAAAGTATCTTCAAACCACCAGGTGAGCTTTAGGCGGTGTTGGTGCTGGACCGTTTTGACGTGGCTAGGTAACCTATAACAACTCCCATGGACCAGGAGCTGGCAGATGCTGCAGAGGTACAAGGCGGTGCTATCTATGCCGCAGGCTTCACAAGGTAATTTCGCTGGCTTCCTAAGTCGGGTGAATTTGTGGTCATGAAAGTCAAGAATGTTGCGCCAATTGGAAGCACATTGGAGGTCAATGTTGAACTCACATTGGAAACAACTGTAACTGAACCTCGAGATGCAATCTTGATGACATGCACTGCAACTCTTTTCCCTGCCACTTGTGTCAAGAGTAAGTGGGTGCTTGCGGTGGATCGGGTGGTGGATCTCACCCGGTAACTCGGCACATGATTTATGGAGATCGAAGTTATAAATGTTGCAAGTGTAGCTAGGCCCAAGCACTGGGTCACCGCACCCATCGCAGTAAATACGGTCACCATCATTCTTCCTCTGCACTTCCATCATGGGATACTCGTGATTCAAATGTTGATTCTGATCAATCCTTCTCCCTGTCATCAACACATTTAAACTTGTTATTATAAATTTTGACCAGAATATATATTACTATTGTTATTCAGTATCTCTACCTGGATTAATCGGACTCAGAGCCATGCCGCCACGCCTCCGCACCTTCGGCCCAACTGCTAGCCGCACCACCAAATTGGCAGATCCCCAAATAATTCTTAATAAAGCCACCAAATTCTCTGACAAAAAAAGCCACCAAATTCTGAGATCAACTCCGAATAGCTTTTTGATTTATTTTATCAAAAATATGAAATGAAATCTGTCAAGAATATGAAATGAAATCTCAAGGATCCATTTTGATATTTCCTAATAATATTTTATTTTGATTCACAAAATGGGCAATTGGATTCTGGAGGGAAAAATGGGGCATTTGGATTTTCGAACAATGGAGGAGGAGGTTGTTTATAAGTTTCATGACCCAAAGATATAACGTTTCAACAAAGTGTCAAATTTTCTTCTTGGAAGAGAATTACACAAGTCCGCCATGGGCGGGGCAGCATGATCCATGATGGTTGGTTGTGCTGGATTTGGGAGAAGATGAGAGAAAAGTGAAAAGTGAAAAGTTGAAAATAAATATTCATTAAGTTAAAAATATTAAAAATAAAATTTAAAAACCGGTGTCCATTTTAAATGACATGGCATGTGCATGTAAATTAATAATTTTTTAAATTGAAAAATATTTAGAAACTTGAAAATACCACGCCCACATTTCCTAAAAAGCAGGAAACTATTTTCCTTGAAATAAAACAGCCATCTTCACCCCTTGCCACGTCTCTTTGGTTTATAAATCGATTTGAACTCAATTTTTTAAAGTTAAAAACAGAACTTTTGAGTACAAAACACACACAAAAAAATCTGTTTGGTAGACATAATTTTGAAAACATAAACTTAAAAACACCCAAATACTTGAAAACATAAATCCCAACTATTTATTTTTTTAAGTATTCCCTCAAAAATATCACTGCAAAAATCATTCAGGACCGTGATGCCAACAAAGGAAATTAAACAAGAATTTACCTTCACGTTTAGCTTGCCCCAAGTTTCCAATGACTTTGAGAATTTGACCTATGAGGCCCAAATTAGATAGTGTAGGTATTCCAAAGATTTGAGGCTTGTAAGTTCACCTAGAAAAGTACTGAAAGAATTCCATATTAGATCAAGGTTTCTGAGGCTACTAAAATTGGAAAGCCAAATTTATAAATCATGTGCTGCTAAAATTCACTCCATCGAGACTGCGGTATCTTAGGGAAGAGAGATGAGAAAGCCAATTCAAAATTTTGGAATGCAATGAGGAGAGATACCCAAAAGATAGTTTAAATTTGACAAAATACCAATAGCCAAGTTCTTTCCTTGGGCATTATTAATTACATAAAATCTATGTTATATTAATATATTAAAACATTATATAGAATCATGAGTTAAAGAAAGCGGTGCCGTTGGTATACATTTTGTTTGGAGGTGGATATATTATTTTTTGAAGAGAATAGTGTGTTGAACAATCAATATAAAAATAACAGAATAATAACAAATTGAAATGTCCTTTAGACTGATACTGATTTCTCTCAGGAAGTGTTTTGTGTGTTCGAATTTCAGATAATGATTTTGACAATTAAATATATTTCAAGCCCAATGCATGATGAAGCTCAATTTTACCTCCACTAGGCTCATACCCTATTTAGTATTTTTAAAGTGTTGGTGCTTATAAACCATGGAAGGAAATAACTCCCTTCCAACGTGGCACTAAATGCAAGTGTATTTTTCCTATACAAACTCTAACATAGTGTTAATATATTATTGAAGAGGGGGTAACGAGTACAAAAAAGAGACTAAGATTTAGAGGATTATGCGAACATCCCTACACATAAGGTTTGGAGGCGAATAAGAGCAAGTTAAAATAAAATTATAATTTGGAGACCTACATAAAATTGGGTCCTAAATTAAGAATGAATTGAGTATGGAGTAAAGTTCTATTCATTCATACCTTAATTTATTAAGCAAGAATCGCAGATTGTGGATGGATCAGAAATAGATGTTCAGGAAGTCGACACCATGTCTGAATTGATAGCTAGCTCAAAGTAAATGATGGAGAGAGATATGTATGCGCATGCATGTGTCTGGCTACTTCTTGCTATATATATATATATATAGGAAACAAAGATAGCGAGAGAGGAGAAGAAACCCTGAACATCTCAATAAAGAAACAAAAGATCCCTTTCTTTCTTTGGCTCCTTCTTGTTCAGGGTCAGATGCTTTCGTGCTTTTAAATAAACTTTACCAAACCCATATTCCAAAACTCTACTCTACTTCAAGAATGTAATATCCAAACTAAAACTGAGATTCCGTAGCAGTTTTTATTGAATTGTTCTCACGTCACAACCTATCGTCCTTTCTAGAAGTAGAAGAAAGTGCCATAAGCAGATAATTTCAACCAAATTAGTAAAAATATAGGGACAAAACTGTAAGTAAGGGTATAATTCAGCGACCATTACTAAATTTTTGTCTTAAGAAAATACAAATTTGAAGAATCCCATATATTACCTTAGTTTGGAGTTACGCATACTTAACTTGAGAATAATCTAATAAAAAGTGCTACGCAATCTCAAATTCGTTTTTCCTTTAGCCATAAGAGAATCACGTTTTTCTTTTTCCAAATTCTTTTCGTGACTCAACATGTTGAAAGCCAACGGATTCTCGAAATTATCTAAGCTTCCAAATATCCTGAATAGTTTTTGGAATACTCCAGGGAGTCGAAACCTTCTTTAGGGCACTGTCAATGATAAGTTTAGAATCACCTTCAACAATAAGTTTTCGCCATCCATGGTTGTAGCCATGGGCAAGCCCATCCCCAAAAGCAATGCTCTCTGCCACAGTGATAGTAGTCTTATCAATCTTATTCGCACTTGCAAGTAAGATGTGATGATCACTATCATGTATGACGAATCCATTGTTTCGGAGTCAAAGTTAATTTTGACCCAACCAACAAGGGGATGTCATTTAATGGGCACGGGGCCTTTATCCTTAGAGCATTTCCAGCACTACAAGCCAGCCCGAGCAGGAGGGGGCCCTAGGCCCGCGAAGCGTTTCCAGGGCGCAATTGTAGCCCGAGCAAGAGAGGTGATAACCAAAGATAGGAAATCACCATTGAAGCGGCTGCGGGAAAAGCCTTAGAGCTCCCAAAAACCTTGTCTTTGTGTGTTTGGACAAAAAAGGATTTCACAAAATAGGATGAGTCAAAGGGAGAGAAGAGAAATGGAGGAGACTTGGCAAAATTGGAGAAAAGCCATTAGGGTTTCTTGGGAAGGAGGAGCTTCCAGCGTCTATAAAAGGGAGTGTCTCCTACCCATTGAAAACAACTCAATCAAAGGCAAGCAAACCAAATCCAGAGAGCAAGCATCATCTCTCACCCCTGGAACCCTTCAATTTCTAGCCACACCTCTCCATCTCCTCAAATTTTCTCTTATGGCAAGCTATTCCAGATATTTCGTCAAGCTGCCGGAAACTTGCTCAAACCACTCATTCTTCCACCATCATCTTATTCATCTCTCTCTCCCATCTAACACACATCCAGAGAGCAAGCTTCATCTCTCATCCCTGAAACCTCTGCAATTTCGAGCCCCATTTGTAAGACCCGTGTCTTGGGGAAACAAGAACGGTGAGCAATCCCACATCGCTCGGGGAGGGAAAGGTGAAGTGCTTTAAATGTGTGGGCACTTCTCTTCCTAGCACGAGGCCTTTTGGGAGCTCACTGGCTTCGGATTCTTAGGCCAAGCTGTCGAAAACTACTCAACACACCCATTATACCCCCCATCTCTCTCTCTCTTCAACAAACCTTCTTAGAATCTCTTTCCTCTTTCCTTAGAACCCTTGTTTCTCATAGGAACTCACATCCCTATCTCTCTTTAATGCTAAACTCATGATTGCTTTGCTTCCATGCCACAAGCTTCTCATGCCACAAGCTTCTCATGCCAAGCTAAGAATTTATCTGTAAGCTACTGTTATTTTTGTTTGTGAAGATAACCAGGGTGCTTCCTAAGGCTCCACTACCCTTTCGAAGCATTTTTGTGGTCTGATTCTTGAACTCAAACACAAGGGGCAATTTCACACATATGGCTCTTTACAGCAGCTCAGGTTCGCAGTAGCTGCCGGAACGAAAAAACCCCTACAACTTATTTCTCAATATCAAAATAATGTGAATTTATTTAATTTAATCCCTTTTTTGTTGAATAGTATGGGTCATTCACCATTTTTGGTAGACAAATCTCAACACCCATTTTGGAAAGTGAACCCAACTCTTATTTCAAGCCAACGCAAATTTCAGGCCCAAACGAAGAGATCTTGTAGTTTTTTTATGGAGAGAGAGAGAGAGAGAGAGAGAGGGAAGTGGCGGCAGGCAGTGCGAGTAGAGTAGGGGGATTGGATTGGGGTGGGAGGTGGTTATGGCCTCTTTTTTCTTTTGTCTTTCTAAAATTATATTCTAAACGTAAATAATGAATTGTAAATTCAACTTGTAAAAAAAGTATCTTTTTTTTTTAGGACTTTTTCTATTGAGAGGTACGATAGTATACTAAACTCAAACACACTACACGGATGCTAGGACTCGAACCCAATAACTCTTTGTAAATTAGATTAATTTAGAGTAGTTTAGATATCGCTTTTAGCAACAACAAGAAATTATGATTGTGATTTTGTAAAAAAAAATTATTGAGAGAGGCATTCGAACTTGGACATATTTCATAACTAAGAAGAAAAATATCACTAAACCAAGAGTTAGTCAGTTATGTTGTGTTTTAAAAAAGAATGCTATTTGTCCGAACTTTTTCCCAACCCAATATGACCTATGTGGTAGGAAGACAAAAAGAATAAGTAAATAAATAAATAAAAACTTTCCTACACCGAGGATATATTTTAGCTATCTTTCTTCCTCACGCATCAAGTTGCACATCAAATCATTGGATTAAAAGAACAACAATATTATAGTACCCACTTTGTGAGAAATGCCTCATAAGTTGTGGAAAAAAAAAAAGAGACAAGTAGTTATAACAAGTAAACCAACCAACCCCCTTTCTTCTGATGTCCCAATGAGGAAGCATGCTTCTTAAATTAACATCTGACTGACTGCTCAACTGCTATTAACATATTTGACCTAAAAGGACATTCACCTGCCACACCATTAACAATTAACCCCCATTATGAAATCCATCAAATATATTTATTCCTGCTTTTAGGTGAAAGAGGGCGGCAGACAGCTAAAAATGAAGTGGTTCATTTGCTGATGAGTGATTCTGATAGCTTTATTTGCCCTTTTCTTCCTCTTTTTTTGTGTGTAATGGTAAGAGAAGCCTGGCTTGTTGGAGTAGGCTACTGAGAATAATGGCTTCAAGTCCAACCAAACCAAACTAACAAAAACTGCAAACCCAAGTTACCAACCTTGAAAATTGAAATGAAACCCTTGTTGAAGGCCATCAAGTTTCCACTTTTCCAAACACAGCTCTTATTTCAAGTAATTTCAATGGAAAATAATTCAGAGACCTCATGGTACCTCAGAAGTTCAGAGTAAGATTCTTGCCAAGATATTTGCGAAGCAGTACCTGCATGCATGTGTCTCTCTAGGGTTCAGAAATTTAGGGTATGAAAAAAAAAAATAATAATAATGAAAATGCCAAATGCCTCACATGCCGACACCCCTAAAAATGTCACATCCTATTGTTACCAAAAATAAAATAAAATAAAAATAAAAATTGTCACTTCCTTCTCCAGCTCTGAAGTATTCAAATTCCAATGAATAGCAAGTTTGAAATGGAACAAACAACTCAGAGCTGAGCGCAGATTGACTAGTTTAACATCGTTATAGACAATTTTACCCTTCTTTTAACATTGGTTTTCTCATTGGAATGGAACAACAATATGTTATGAGCCTCCTTCCTTGGTAGCAGTAAATTAACGGGACGCTCAAGGCTCAGGAGATTGACTACTTCAAACGAGAGACAGGTGTGCCCTTCTTTAAGGTAGGAACTTGTACCTTTGTTTTGTCATTGGAATAATATTTGAGCTTTTCAACAATTTCAACCTGCATCCATAATTCATGGTGAATTATTAAATCTCAGTGTTGAATTATTA